CATAGTATTCCATTGTATAGATGTACCACAGTTTTTTAATCCACTCATCTGCTGATGCGCACTTAGGCTGTTTCCAAATCTTAGCTATGGTAAATTGTGCTGCTATGAACATAGGGATGCATATATCTTTTCTAATTGGTGTTTCTGGTTTCCTGGAGAAAAATTCTGTGTTAAGTTGTGATTATATTATCACTAGGGGCCTGGTGCACGAATTCATGCATGGGTGGGGTCCCTTGGGTTGGCCTGTGGGGAAGGGGCCAAAACCCTCAGTCCAATGCCGCCTGCCACTCCTGCCTGCCGCTCTTCTCATCCCAGCCCCACTGTGTCTGCTGCAGGCTCACGCCGTCAGTCCCAATCTGGAGAGGCTCACGCTGCTGCTCCAGCAGTCATCAGCCAGCTGTGGGCCCTGCATCTGGTGCACGCCAGAGGCAGGGGGGCGGGGGACGAGGGGCAGGACGCCATAGGCCCTTTGGGTGGGTAGTGGGACACACTTGCTGGCCTGGGATCCGGGATCCAGGATCCATCCTGCTGATGTTCGTGCGGGTTGTCGGAAGCTACCTGGTGGCCACTTTTATATCGTTTCTTCCTTGCAGAGCACCTAGGGAGGGGAAGCAGCCGAGGATAGTGCTGGCAGCACCAGTCTGTGGGTGCCTGGCCCATTCTCTGGAGATTGAACCAACCTGCAGGACTACTGAGGGAGTGAGTGGCTGCTACCAGGCTGGTGGACCACTGGGACGGATCAGTCAGCTGAGTGGCGCTCCCACTGTGGGAGTGTACTGACCACCAGAGGGCAGCTCCTGCATTGAGCATCTGCTCCCTGGTGGTCAGTGTGCATCATAGCGACCGGTTGTTCGGTTGTTCCTCCGTTCAGTCTATTTTTTTATTATATAGGATTACACTTTGATTGGCTGAATGAACGACTGGATGACCGGACACTGGACTTCTGATGGATCCACCCCCTAACCAATCTATTTCCTAAATCTTCTGGGGTTCTGTGTTCCTTATCCAATGCAATCCTTTTCCCAGGCTAGACAAACAGGCCTCTATGGTTGCCATCTTGGCTCCTAATGCCTCATAGAAGCACTTTACCCCATTCTCTGAGCCAGTGAACCTGGGAGATTGAAAAGTCAGTTCTTCCTCCCTATACAGGTTGCAGGGAAATGCTGCAATCCCCTGGGGTTTGTGAAGCAGTAGCTTCCTGGTTAAGCAGGCTTTATGCTCCCTAGTTGACTATGCTTAATAATGTCTGATTTCTTTTGCTCCCTTCCTTTATTTTATTTTTACTTTTTTTTTTCAGAGAGGGAGAGGGAGCGTGCGATAGAAACATCAGTGATGAGAGAGAATCATTGATCAGCTACCTCCTGCACACCCCACAGTGGGGATCGAGCCCACAACCCAGACATGTGCTGTGACCAGGAACTGAACTGCAACCTCCTGGTTCCTAGGTAGATACTCAACCACTGAGCCATGCCAGCAGGGCTGCTCCCTTCCTTTATTAATCTTTAGCTACCTATGCTAACAATATCACATGTAGAATCACTGATGTCCATGTATATGTCCCACTTACCTAAATTTTCATACAGATTTAACATTGATGGATATTTTCTGCTTAAATCAATCTTTACTATGGTTGCAAAATATAACATTCCAACTTCAGTACTCCCTTTATATCTATTAGTCAGCACTCTGCACTCTTTTCAAAGCAAGAGACCTCCCTTTTTCATTAGCAACCTTTTATCAATATGGAACTATGAATTTCATGTTTTCAATGATTTATATTTACACCATTTTTAGTGCTCAAGTGGTGCCAGATTTGGCCAGTGAAACTCTCTTCAGCCTTGCTCCAGTGTCTTTCTGACATGCTACAATTATGTTATTCAAAATATTACTTATCATTTTAATTTCTGTAGGAGCTGTAGTGATGTTTCCTCTCTCATTCCTGATATTGGAAATTTGTGCTTTCTCTTTTTTTATTTTGTCAGGAGGCTTATCTGGCTGGAGGCTTATCAATTTTATTAACTTTCAAAGAACACCTTTTGGAGAATGGGGTAAAGTGCTTCTATGAGGCATTAGGAGCCAAGATGGCAACCATAGAGGCCTGTTTGTCT